ACAATACCCACCACTGCTGGCGCAGACACCTACAGCCACCAGCTCGATAAACTTGCTTCGGATATCGCAAAGTTGAGGCTTACAGTGAATGAAATTGTTCCACTGCCCGGCAGCTCGCAACCCACATGTATCGAGAGAATGCCAGAATACTATACAGAAACTTGGCCTCATGATTTCCCCCACTCTTTCTAATCCACTGAGGTATAGCAACCAATCACCAGTTGCTCCGCTTACTTGCTCGTTTCCTTAACGAGAAAAACTACGATGATGGCGACTACCTCAAGAACAAGAATATCCACTGATTCTTAACGTCGAAGGTTGGAGCTGAGCTTTTCGAGGAAGTGAATTCAATTCAGTGAGGGAGTAGACCACGGACCTCCTGAGGGTGCGAACTGATGCGCAATTCGCATCGAAAAATTTGACCTCGGCGACCTATTATGCCTCAAAGTTGGCGGGTCTGGCGATCTCCGCCCACCGACCAGCTGATCACTCGCCGCAGATCTATACGTGGGATTGATTAGATAGCAGAGAGAGCGTGATGTTGAGGAGGGCACAGCGATAAGAGTCGCATCAATGCGCAAATCAGCGGGGAAGGAAGGGGTCCCATTTCTCGGGTTCTGGGCCGTTTCTCATGGTTCTTCCTTCTTTCGTGTACCAATCACCATCCCTGAGTTAATTTGAAATGGGTTGCCTTCCCAGCGTGAATTCGTCCTTTAAAGTTGATGAATGAAGCATCCACTGAGTAATTTGATCAAGTCACAACCGGTTCCTCCACCCCCCCCCGCCCCTCCCACCGTATAGTTACCATGCACAGTCTTAGTGCTGTGATCGCCTTTGTCGTGGGTCAGATAAGAATTACGGAACGGCTTTATTAACAAACAACGACACAAATAAACAACACATTCACTTTTACCTCGAAAAAGGAGCGCAGATCGACCACAAAACTCTAACTCCAGGCTCTGATCGTCGATTGCCGACCCTAGAGAGAGATCCAAGTTCAATTCACAGGATTCCCTCTTCCAGCTCCTGTGTGCGCAGTAGTGACTTCTGCCACTAAGGCTCCACTGAGATTTCGACCAGAAAGGCTCAGTAGAATTTGCTCTTAGAGGTTCATAAGGATTCCTGCTACAAGCAACCAGAACAATCCACCACGAAAGTCACGACGTATGAGAGTTAGAAAGGCTATATCTTGCCGAACCCATCAAGAGACAAGTGACCAATGCTCCCGCCACCTTACGTAATCTTCACTGCACTACATATGACCAAACTACGACCTCCGATTTCCACCGGTCACCTGGCTTTCCGTGTAAAGAGGTACGCATATCGAGCATTTTTCTTCTTCACTCTTTCTTTTCTCTTCAATCACTGCTGGCATTGTTAAATGTTTGTTTTATTTGATTTTTCAGTGGGTATGCCACCCGAACCGCTTCTTCCTAGCTGTTCGTCCAGCCGAGAACGAGGTGACCACATTTCCAAGTCATTAATTTCCATTTCTGAAACGAATTCACATTGCAGCATTCATTGGACGATAAGGCATCGCGGAGCAGTGCACTAAACACATTCAAAACCATTACAAAGTTACCGTACCTATATAATCATTTGGTGCCCTTGTCCTAGTGTCATACGCAAGTGAACTGGTTCACCCAGTCCTGACAAGGAAGATCTTTCAGGGGTGCCAAGCTTTTTCAAAACGGTCTTTTGCATGATATAGAGGCACATGCGGGAACCACAGAACCATGGTTAATTTTTCCTGAACGGCCCTCTGAATACCAGAAAAGGGGGTCCCTAGTCACACCTTTTTCACCCAGTTTTTCAATCAAAGTCTATTTGTAAGGGTTACTGACGTTCCTAATCATGAATTTGGTACTAATTATTCATGCTAACTCCATTTTGCGCGAATTTTGAAACGTCAACACGAAATGCAAAAACTTGTCACCACGAGGAATCGAACTAGGGACCCCTTTTCTGGTATTCAGAGAGCCGTTCAGGAAAAATGAACCATGCTTCTGTGGTCCCCATATGTGCCCCAATGTCATGCAAGAAACCATTTTGAAAAAGCTTGGCACACCCTGAACGACCTCCCTTGTGAGCTTCCCGGCCACGAATGGGATTATTGTTGCCGCGAAAAAAAGCACATGTGCGCCACTATCCCCCTCCCCTCCCCCCCCAGCCCGAATAGAGGGAAAGAGGATTCATGTTCTAGTGATTGGGGTGCACCTCCCAGGGCGAAAGATGTCAAATTGAATTGGTGAGATCGCCCTGTTCATAGATACGCTGGTTCTCACAGGGATAGTGTACGGAGTCAAAGCGTAAGTCTGTGATTTATGTGAAGGAGGTTTCGGTCTTTTGAAAGGCACTGAAATCAATTAAATAATCGGTAAGGGTCCGGAAAGCTAACAGCCAACCTCACACATGGACCTATTCTTTTTTTTTCTGAGGTATAGGTTGTGAAGCAGTATTTGTTCCTCTTTAGATCTGGTCGTTTGGGTCGGCTTACGGCGAGAACGCTTTCCTCAGCAAGAAATGCATCGGACTCCGTCTAGCATCTTATCGTGGTTGGAAAGAGGGTTGGCTCGCACTCAACGCGCCGTGATTGCCGTCAAAGGGGGTGGAGGACATTACCGATATGGCATGGACTGACCCAGTTAGTCAGATGTCAGCTATCAGCTTTTGTTCATGGCAAAAAGCACCTGCTCTCTGTCATCACGGAGGTCGGCTGAGTGCTCTACTCACACCTACTCTCACACAGGTCCTTCCGGGAAAGACGTATTTGGCTGTGTTGCATTTCCACCTGGCGTTGGAAAGACCATGGCGTTTGATGACTCCAGCTCTCCAAAAATGGCAGGTGAGCGATTTTAAAAAGAATAACCTTTTTCAGATTCTCTGAAAGAGAGTGCTCTTTCACAGGTTCGAGTTCTTGGCGACGACATTGTGTGGATCAAATGTGGATCGGATAAAGTGATGTACGGTCTAGCGCCAGAAAATGGAATTTTTGGCTGTCCCAAACAATGCGACTCCAGAGAATGCAGCCAATGTCCTCAAGGTAAAATCACAGCACGGAGAGGGATTCTCCTTGAACGAAGATGGCACAGCGAATTGGTCGCTCGCTCGCTTGGTCGCCGGATGAAA